TAGGCTATTTATAGCCAAAAAATCATTACACAACATTGCTAAATTTGGTGACCAAGCATGGGTTGGCAAAGCTTGCTGATCACAATTCTTGGAGAGCAAGCTGATGATGTCATGGGTAATGAAATCACACTTGCTGAGTTGGCAAATTTTAGCCACAAATTTCAAGATAATACCTTCCTACATGTAATTTGGAACAATCGTAGAGTTTCCATCACTTTGTTTTGGGCATCACCATGATTTGAACCATTTGGACCATAACAGGGGACCCTATTAAGATTTTATTTCTTATAGTACAGCTGTAGGATTGAATTATTTACTCCTTGATTTAGGGCTAATTGATAGGTAATTAGTTACCTATTTTAGCTAAATCCTACTCTATAAATTGGATGTAATACCATCAATGAAAGTATTGAATTGAGTTTTAATTCTCATATTCTTTCTTTGAATTTCAAGATGGTATCAGAGCCATCCTTGAACCTTATTTTTGAATCTCTTTGAATTTATCTTTTAAATTCATTGATTCATATAACAGACCCATACAACATACCCATACCCATACAACATAACCATACACATGCACATCAATTCACAGACCTATACAGATACACATATAGTCACCATTGATTCACCGATCACGCCTGCTGCCCATCACAAGCCATTGCCAAACCGCTAAAGATCTCGCCGGATCTGGATATGATATGATGACGAAGTCGTTGCCATCACAAGCCACATCCGTAACCAAACCGCTACACCTCGACGGATCTGTATCGCCGTTGCTGGATCTGCTTCGTTGTCAGCCATCGCTGGATCTATAGTTCTTGACTACAAAACCGCTGTCCATAGCGTCGCTGGTTCTTCGCCAAACCAAACCGCTGCCTGCCGGTAACGAACCGCTGCACCTCGACGTCGCATCGCCTGATCTTCATCGGATCATCGCGTCAAACCGCTGCCTTGTCGAATCGTGTCGTGGCATCGGATCGATTCCATATCTCGCCGATCGATTCCAAAAGCCGCTGTTACTGTCGGTTTGTCAGGCCGAGCCCGTGCTTCGCCGGTTCATTTTACCACCGTTCATAGACGGACCGTCCATAGCCGAGCTTTCCAAGCTCACTACCGCTTCTGCCAGCCGTTGCGGGATCGCAGAAGGCATCCTACTTTTCTCTGCTCAAAAATCAACGGTAGTTATGAGAATTGAATTCCTTATTTGAAAAAAAAAACAAAAACAAAAACAAAAAAAAAAAAGCAAAAAGGAAAAAAAATGTGTGCCTTGAATATTATATAGATATATATTATATATAAGTATTATATATATATATATAAATGCGTGGAAAAAATATTGACTCATCTGGAGCAGACAAGTCTACCTATAAATGCACTCATTGCAACCAGACTGGTCATACCAAAAGTTGTTGTTTCAAACTTGTGGGATATCTAGAATGGTGAGATCATCGCCATTGGAAGAAGAATTCACCGAAGACCTCCACTGTAGCAGTTGTTAAGACAACAGATAATGGTGGTAAGGTTTTCACTATTTCTACACCTGTTGCTAATAGTGCATGGATAATTGATTCTGGTGCCACTGATCATATGACATTTGATTCTAGACAGGTCTCACTTCTTAATTCATCCTCACACAAATTTGTTTCTACTGCTAATGGGACTTCGACCCCAGTTATTGGGGAAGGATCTTTGACACTCATAGATAATCTACATTTAGATTCTGTTTTAGTTATTCCATCTTTCGATTCTAATCTTTTGTCAGTTTCCCAAATAACCACAGCTTTATCTGTGTTGTCATTTTTTGGCCTGATTTTTGTGTGTTTAAGGACATCCAAATAAAGCAGACGATTGGTTGTGGTATTAGGCAAGGGAAACTGTATTACTTGGACTTGATGTCCAAAAGTTCCGACAAGCATTGAGGATGGTTCTGAGGGGGAGAAAAGGAAATCTGAAATCTGGTTGTGGCATCGACGTCTGGGGCATGCTTCCTTCGGTTATCTGAAAAACTTATTTCCTAGTTTGTTTGCAAAATTTGCTGTTTCTAGTTTCCACTGTGATGTTTGTGAACGAGCAAAGAGCCACCGTGTTTCGTATCCATTATGTTTGCATCAAAGTCCACTTCCTTTTATGGTTATACATTCTGATGTTTGGGGTCTGTCCAAAGTCCCTACTTTAGGTGGATCCTGTTGGTTTGTTACTTTTATTGATGACTGTACCAAGATGACTTGGTTGTGATTGATGAAGTCCAAAGGTGAAGTGAACTTATTGTTTCAGAAGTTTCATAAAATGGTTGAAACTCAATACAATGCACATATTCAGGTTCTCTGTAGTGACAATGGTGGCGAATATTAGAGTTTTGACCTTCAGCAGTATTTGGAAGCACATGGAACTATTCATCAAACCACTTGTTCCAATACACCCCAGCAGAACGGGGTTGCCGGGCGAAAAAATCGACATTTGTTGGAGGTTGTTCGTGCTTCATTGATAGAAGCGCATATGCCATTATCGTATTGGGGAGAAGCACTTACCTCTGCAGTATATCTAATCAATTGAGTACCTTCCAGCTCTATTGCCTTCCGGACACCATTGCAGGCTCTTGCTAACACAGTTGTTGCCCCTACCATCCTAAATCTACCTCATCATGTTTTTGGTTGTGTAACATTTGTACACCTCCGTAAGCATCAACGCAACAAGCTAACTCCTCGAGCATTGCGATGTGTTTTTCTCGGATATGCTACTCATCAAAAGAAGTATCGCTGTTATTACCCTCCAACTTGACGAATGTTTATCATAATGGATGTTGTCTTCCATGAAGACTCGATATATTTTTCCTCTGTGTCTAAACTTCAGGGGGAGTACCAGAATGAAATTCAGACTCTATATTATGATTATCACATTTTTAGGACGATGATTCTAGTGTTGCTGACTCACAAGTTGGACCAACCAATCAGGAATAGGGCAAATTGGATTCGAGTGGTATAAGTTTGGATCAAAGTGGTGATGAACGCCCAGAAATGGAAAGCATCGTGCCAACCCCATCGTCGTCCGAGTTCGAGTCCCTCGCAACTGATATATCACACCAATCACCTACTTAGGATGTTCCTGATTTAGTGTCTGAGCCACTCAGAAAACAATTACCACTGCGTCACACTAGAGGTATTCCTAAACCCACATATGAACCCGAACTTTCTAGTAAAGTTAAGTATCCCATGAGCAATTATGTGTCGAACCATCGTTTGTCAGAATCAAATTTGTCATTTGTAAATCAATTATCTACTGTATCTATTCCTAATAGTGTGCAGGAAGCCTTAGCTGACCCTAGGTGGAAAGCAGCCATGAACGAGGAGATGAAATCATTGCAGAAAAATGAAACTTGGAAACTCATTGACCCTCCACTAGGAAAGAAACCAGTTGGATGTCGATGGATTTACACTATGAAGTATAAAGCAGATGGCACAATTGAAAGCTTTAAAGCAAGATTGGTGGCAAAAGGTTACACCCAAACCTATGGAATCGATTACACAGAGATGTTCGCACCTGTAGCCAAAATAAACACAGTTCGTGTCTTGTTGTCTTTAGTTGCGAACTTGGATTGGCCATTGCAACAATTCGATGTGAAGAATGCCTTTCTGCATAGTGAATTATCTGAAGAAGTCTATATAGATCTCCCACCAGGATGCATGATACCCGAAAAGTATAGTCGAAAGGTTTGCAGGTTAAAGAAATCATTATATGGGTTGAAACAATCTCCAAGAATATGGTTTGGAAGATTCACAAAGTCTATGATATTCTTTGGCTACCGTCAGAGCAATTCAGACCATACGTTATTTCTCAAGAAACAATAGGGTAAGATCATTGCACTCATTGTATATGTAGATAACATGGTGGTTACAGGGAATGATCTTGAAGAAATGAAGGCTCTTAAGAAGTACTTGTCTAGAAAATTCGAAATGAAAAATCTAGGTCCTTTGAGATATTTTCTTAGGATCGAAGTATCTCGGTCTAATAAATGAATCTTTTTATATCAAAAAAAATATGTCTTAAATCTATTACAAGAGACTGGCATGACAGCATGTCAACCAGCTAAGACACCAGTGGAAGGAGGACTAAAGTTATGTGTTGAGTCCAACCAAGTACCTACTAATAAAGGAAGATACCAAAGACTTGTAGGGAGACTGATGTACTTAGCACACACGAGACCGGATCTAGCTTATGCTTTAAGCATTGTTAGCCAGTTTATGTATGATCCTGGAGAGCAACATATGAATGCAGTTATACGCATGTTGAGGTATTTGAAATCTGCTCCTGGAAAAGGAATTTTGTTCACTAAAAATGCTGGTTATCAAAACATAGCTGCATATACTGATGCTGACTGGGCTGGAGCTATAGATGATAGGCGATCTACTTCTGGTTACTTTACTTTTGTAGGAAGTAATCTTGTTACATGGAGAAGCAAGAAACAAAATGTTGTTGCTCGCTCGAGTGCAGAAGTTGAATTCAGAGGTATGGCACTTGCACTTTGTGAAACATTGTGGTTAAGACTTCTCTTGCGAGATTTAGGTTATCTACTTGGGCAACCTATTCGACCATATTGTGACAATAAATTAGCATGTGATATTGCCCATAATCTAGTTCAACATGATCGTACGAAACATGTTGAAATAGACAGATTCTTTATTTAAGAGAAGTTGGATGGGAAAATAGTGGAATTGCCTAAGATTCGATCTGAGGATCAACCAGCCGACATTTTCACCAAAGCAATCTCAAATCAAGTGTTTTCAAAATTTTTAGACAAGTTGGGCATGTATGACATCTATGCACCATCTTGAGGGGGAGTATTGAGATTTTATTTCTTATAATATACATGTATGATTGAATTATTTACTCCTTGATTTAGGGTTAATTGGTAGGTAATTAGTTACCTATTTTAGCTAAATCATATTCTATAAATTGAATGCAATACCATCAATGAAAGTATTGAATTAAGTTTTAATTCTCATATTCTTTCTCTGAGTTTCAAGAGGCCCGACGTACATCAAAACCGTGCAGTCGTTGAAATTGCTGAGAATTGTTATGCTGCTCGTCATCATAAACAGAAGTATGTTTTTCATCCCAGACAAGTAGTGCACCTATGCCAACATAAGCTGCCTTCCCAGCATACATTGATTTCCCCTTCGAAGAATTTCCTCTTGAATAATCTGCTTCATAATTATTTTTCCTAATAACATTTCTAGACTTCCCTCTCCTGATGAAATCCTGCTTCTTTAATTTGCTTCGGCTCATACCACCATCTGGGATAGTTTTTGAAGCCCTTTTCCTCTACTTCCACAGACAATTTGGTGATGACATGAGACCTTGCCCCATCATCCTGCCCACTCCACATCCCAAACCAACATGATCACCCAAAAGCCTTTGCTTAGGACTTTTGTCATGTGAATGAACAATTATCTCCTTCCCCAACGAATCTCTTAATCCTCGGAATCCTTTATAATTACTGCCTGGGACTTGTTTCTTGGCTCAGGCATAGTTCCTCTCAAATCATTCTTACATTCCTTTTTGGATTCTACTATGGTAGCCCTCACTGTCTCCCTCAATGACCTGCCTTTTGCAACAACCCTCTCTGTGCCACCAAAACTCTTGTTTCTCAACACAACCCTCTGGCGCTCTTCCTCATTTGGGCGTGGAGCATTCCTTCCACGAAATGGAGGGTTTTCATCCGAAACCCTTCTTCCCGGATAATTTTTCTTCAGAACATTCTCCAACCAAATTTTGGCATCACCAATAGACCACTGCTGTGGAGACAACTTTTTTGCACTAGCCGCCGACACAGTTTGATATTGTAGTGGATCTTCTCTCTTCATCAGTGCCTGAACCTCCACCTCAAGCAACTCCTTCACCAATTCTGGTGCAAGACATCCTAAATCTTTCTGCGACCTAACTCCCAATACCTCCATATTTGTTGAAATTTTCTCATCCTTGCTGACCATCCCGTTCATATCCTCCACCTTCCCCACCAAACCACCCAATGATTCATCCATTTCTGGCGGAATTCGACTTTTCATCACTTCATGAGACTGGAATTCAACCCGAACCTCAGGAGTACAATCATCCACTTCAACTTCAGTTCTTTTTTCACCCACCAAATTCTCCTTATCAGCAACCAATGCCACCACATTTTTCTTTTGCCTCAAATGAATCGGTGGGGCATTTGGGCCACACCCCGGAGGATAATCACGAACGCACGAAACCTTCCGGGGCTTACACTTGAACTCTGAAACACTAGAACACCAGGAATAGCCGTTTTCCAAAGGCTGTTTTCTCAAATTCCCATCAGATAGACCACCATTCAACAAAAACACCATTGTCAATCCCCCAACAACAAAAATCACCGTTTAGTTGCTGAGAAAAAAATTTTAAAAAAAAAAAAAAAAAAAAAAAGAACAAAATCAAATGAAAACGTAAAAAAAAAAATAAAAATAAAATAAAATAAATCAGATTAACACTCTTTGATATTTGAAACTAAAACTCATATTGCAGCTTATAAGCATAAAAAGTTACATAAACAATAAGCTTATAGAAAAAACAAAGTAGGGTTTGAATCCATTAAAAAACAACTGAAAGTGCGTACAGTGTACCTGATCTGAGTTCTGAGTTCTAATAGTTTCTCGAGAAATAGTATTCAATGGTGAGTCGAGTGATTGAAGAGAAGATGAAATCCTAATATTAGCGATTCATGGTCGAAATTTTCTGGATGGGTTTTGTCACAACAAAGTCTGAACTGTGTGTGAGAGTGAGTATGCGAATGATTACTGCCGAAATGAAACCATACTGTAACCGGCGAAGGAAATGGGAATCACTGATATTATAGTTATGCCCTTGGTTTTCTGTTCATTATCGGCTCTACCACTTGGCGCGAGCAAGTCAAGTTACGACACCGTTTGATCAGAGTACGCGCTGAATCACACATGAAAGCTGACTAAATTTCAAGAGGCGCAATTTTCATTTTAAGCCAATATCAATTATGGTTTTTTTTTTTTTTTTTTTTTTAAGGTTGTGTTTGGGAATCCATTTTTCATTTTAAAATTAAAATTGAATAAAATTTATCCAACAACTTTAATTGGACATTCTTATTAGATAGGAAGAAAACTTATCTAACAACTTTAATTGGAAGTAGAATTTGAAGGGTTTTACAACTGCAGAGTTATTAATTTTTTTTTTATAATGGGGCTCAGCAGAGTTATTAAACCATTTTGATTTTTTATTATATACTTTTAAAAATAATATTTTAAGTATTTAATAGAAGAAATTGGATAGTTTTTGACTTTTGTTCTACAAATCATTTTTATTTATTTATTTTTTTTTAACAAGAAGTACAGAATGAAGTAATAATTCATCACACCATTTGAATTTCACCTACCACCTTGCAGAATCTGGACAGACATTGATATTATGAATGCCATTTCTATATATATTTAGTCTATTTTTCATATATCATGCATGTTTCGTTTAAATTCTGTTATGGCCAAATGGGCGTAATTCCTCTGCAGTCAGCTTTCAAGCAGTTCTCTTAACTAAGCTTTAAGTGGTATATATTTGGCCAGCCCAGATCGTGTTTGGATGTGGCAATTACAAAACAGTAAAATGTCAGGCAGATCTTTTAGTAAGCTCTTTTCACCACCGTTTATAAGGAAGAAGTCTAAAAGGTAAAATCACCAGAAGCTAATATTACCATCTAAAAAGTAAAGATTGTTGACGGTCAAATACATTGTAATCCCCTTCAGAATTCTCTTTAAATTTTTTTGATACTCTATTTTTTATGATAAAATTTAATTTGAAAAAAAAATATAAGTAATATGTTGAATTGAGTTAGATTTACGTGTGACATTAGTTTTTTAGCATTATGTGAATACTTTCTTTTGATGGTAAAGATGATGAGTGTAACAATTAATATTATACTTTGTTAAAAATTTCGTAACACGATGGTACGAAAGTAATAAGAACTATGTCAAAGTAACAAGAACTATGTCAAAGAACTCCATAGTTCACTTTTAGAAGATACCTAAGTGTGTGTTTTTTTAATATTTGAATAAAGAAAAAAAATGTGGCTCTTTTCATTATTTTTTGAAACATTTAGTGTTTTCTTTGTTGTCTAAAGTTAATCCAAGTGACTTTAATTTTGGTTTAAATTCTTTAAATTAATATGTTAAAAGTATTTTTAAGATGCTCTATTTTTTTGTGGTAAAATTTAACTTCAAATAACAACGTAATAAAACATTAAATTGAGTTATATTAATATGTGACATTAATTAATTAGTCCGCATGATGAATACCTTTATTTGAGGGTGAAGGTAGTGAGTGAGTAAATAACAATTAATCCCAGACTTTGACATATCTTATCGATAACACATAAGTTGTCTAAAATTAGCCCAAATGACTTTAACCTTGGGATACAACTCTTTAAATTAACATGTGACAATGATTTTGATGATATTATTTGTGACACGAGAATGCTGATAATTTTCACATTTTTGTAATTATTGCATTCTAAAGTGTTGTGGCCATATATGTACCACGTAAAAGCTCATGGGACAGGGCAATTCACTTAAAAGAGGATTTGCGCCCAAAATGGACGTAGATTTTGACAAATGCACTGTGTCTAGCATGGCTTTTCGCAACCAAATATTTTTTCTCTGCACCTATTTTCTGTTTTTTTTTTTTTTTTTTTTGAAGGTGATATTTATAATATTTTAAAAGAAGAAATACTTACCCGACTAAATAAGACAAGAAAAATGAAAATACCTTTGTGGTAACATAGAATGTTTCATAGCTTACCCTTTAACCAAAAAAAAAAAAAATGTTTCACGCGGACTACTTTCCTCTTGATTTTATTTGATTGGTTGCTGTTAAAACTAATTCTTTACTGAGATTTGATTATTTTTATTATTTTCAGGTTCATTTCAGTTCTGAAGGTAATGTGTCACTAGATAGTTAACACTTTATCCGACTTAGTAAAAACCTTCACCAAAAAAAAATTTCAAATCTTAAAATTCAATATATTTCAAAGAGAAAAATCTAAAATTGTATTAATAAAAAAGACAACCAATAATCAGAACATTACAACACAATTTATAACCGCTCGAACTTTATAAAACCCAGAGCAAACGAAATTTAAAAATTATGAATAATTATAAATAAGTCCAAAATTACAAAATTAGATGACCCAAAAACGGAAAAAAAAAAAAAATTTCAAAGCAAATTGAACACGACTCAGATGTGTTAAAAGTTGCCACTTAATCTATATTTGGGCTGATATGCTATCCTTGCCATTTTCGAGTTCATTAAAAGTATCAAAGATCAATTTGGAATGTGAGGAGTCACTAGATAATATATTGTTTAACAGAGTTTGGAACTCTGCTATATCAGAACACTTATATATGAAGGTTATGTCATTCGGTTTAACAGAGAAGACCTAGAACTAAAAAGGTTTAGGCTAAAGTTGTACATTCAACTTACAAATTATTTGATAGATATAGGGTTAAGTGCATTAAACCCCCCTGAACTATGACCCAATTGCAAGAAACCCACCTGAATTAAAAGTAACCCCCTGAACTATAAAAATGTTGCATTCCAGTACAATCCGTCAACCAGCCGTTAATAAAAAAATAAAATTACCTTTAAGCCCTTTAGTGTAACGACGACGTTTTTGTGTTAATGAGAATTAATATGTTGACGTGGCAAGGAAATTTCTAATAGCCAATAGAAAAACGACAGCACACATACTTACCTTATCCTTACACAAAAACTGGCACCAAAGTGACCAAACCAACCCTTACATCAATTTATGGCACCAAACAATTCTTCCCCATCTCTCTCTCACACAGATGGCGTCCAAGGGGTGGAAAACGATTCTCTCAGTCAGATATAACAACAGCGACAGCAAAGGGATCCTATCTAGGGTTTTAAGTGCTATCTCACAGTCCTCAATCGAGTACCGAGGCAAGCAAACAAACGTCGAACGCTGCCTACGCAACGATGCGCCTGATGAAGAGCATAGAAAAGGGCGCCTGGATCGCCGATTCACCGGCACAACGTTCCTCATCGTCGTCTTGCGCTTATCGTCGAGATGGATCGCGGTCTGCAGCTTAATGAGCTTGAGTTACAGCAGGCGAGTTTACTCGGTACCCTACTTGCCTAGTACGAATTGCCCTCTTTGCTTCATGAGGTGCTCCGGCTCCTTTGGTATGGACATGGTCCGCATCTGTTCTCTTCCTTCAGGCTATGTTTGGTAGGGTGGGTTTGAAGGGGGAGGATAATATTAGTTACGACAGAAAGGGAAGGGAAGGGAAGGGAATGGAAGGATAAGTTTAATCATCAATCGTGTTTAGTTGATTAATGAAGGAAAAGAAAGGGAAGGATAACAATCATTTTTGGGAAAAGAAAAGAAAGGGAAGGATAATAATAAATTTACTATTATGCCCTTTTATATTTTAAAAGATGAATTTTGAGATTTAAATATGCAACAACATTTTTGCCCCAAGTGGAGCCGGCTCAAGTAAAAGTGGAGGAGGCTCTACTTTAAGTAGAGGAGGCTCCAATATGAGTAGAGCAGGCTCCCAAAAATGGGAGGTGGCTCGTTTCAAGAAAAATTGTTCTGGGAACCAATTTTAGCTACTGGAATGAAGATCAAGTGTGTGTTTTTTTTTTTCCTTTCAGTTTCCATCGCTGTTCCAGTTCGGGTTCGCCGTCGCCATCTGCCTCAAAAAATCAAAACCCACATCTTTTAGTTTCCATCGCTATTCCAGTTCGGGTTTGCCGTCCGCCTCAAAAAATCAAAACCCACATCTTTCAGTTTCCATCGCTGTTCCAATTCGGGTTCGTCGTCCGCCTCAAAAAATCAAAACCCACATCTTTCAGTTTCCATCGCTGTTCCAGTTCGAGTTCGCCGTCCGCTGTTCGCAAGCTTCCCGCGCTGAATACATGTTCAATATCAAGTGCAATTTTGAGGGTAAAAGTGGCATGACAAATATTATATGAGCCATTACCTTCCCTTTCCTTCCTTATCCTCCCATTTTTGGAAGGTTAAAGAAATTACTGTACATTGTTATGAAGAACCCATCCAAACCCTTCCCTCTCCTTCCCTTTCCCTCCACTCACCTTACCCAAACACAATTTTTTTATAACCCTCCATCACCTTCCCTTCCCTTTCCCTTCAAACCCACTCTACCAAACTGAGCCTCACAGATGCAATTTCAAATTACACTCTTCTCCCAGAAAAAGAAACTCTTTGTCCTCACTCACTTGTCTATATGATTTTTTTTTTTTTTCCTTTCTGTGAGTCTATCACTTTGGGGATTACATAATTAGTAATCCATTGTCATAGATAAAACAAGCGTAAATGAGAATTGAGAAGCAAGATAACAAATGAACTGATGTCCAGTCAAATAAATAAGATAATTGATTCCCATGAACAAATTGTGGAAGATGGATTGAGGACAAATAATGGATGATTAATATGCCAATTACCAAGTGAGCATTTACCAATATATATATATATATATATATATATATATATATATATATCCTAAACACACACATAGAGATATATAGAGAAAGAGAACACAAGTTGAATAATTCTTAAGATTTGTTGTTGAACATAAATTGTGATTCTTAAAGATTTGTTGTTCAACATAAATTGGGGATTTTCACGTAGATGTATATATAGTGTATATGTATATATAATAATGGGTTTAACTGTCAAGGGTAGTTTAGGCATTTTCAAATTGGGCAAGCTCATGTGTGTCACGTGCCTTAAGGTAGCGTTAAATTTCAGACGGCAATCTAACGGCTTGCAACAATTGGAATAGTTTAGGGGGTTAAGTGTCTTTCTGATAGTTGATGGAGGTTTTTTGAGAGAGAAAAAAGTTCAGGGGGGTTTAATGCAATTAACCCTTATTCTTATCTTAAACTTTCATATTGTTTTTTAAACAATTTTCAAATAATATTCTTTAAAGTTCTCATAAGCTTCATTTTGATTTATGAATTTTTTTTAAAAAATAAGTTTTTAAAAGGGTGGATAGGATCATATCGGATTAGATATTAAACTTAATTCGATTCGTTCCTTACGGATTGGTGAAAATTGAATCCAATCTGATCCGTTGCTTTATGAATTGGATCGTATCAGATTAAGCCATTTTATGGATCGGATCGGCCTTATTTCCAAATTGTTCAATATTATTATTTTTAACCATGGCCTAATAGATGAATTTTAAACCGTTAATAAAACTTTAAAATTAGTAAGTCATTTAGGGTTAAAATTTAGTAGGTGTTTAGGGTTAAAAATAAATAAAACTAAAAATAATAAAAGAATAAAGAAAATAGAAATAGTGCGTGCATATGTATATATATATATATATATATTTGAACGGATCGGATAGGATCGGTTAGCGGATCAG